GGAGGCCGTATTTCTACTTAGCCCCCAGTAGCTTTTAGGACTACGGACGTACGTGAAGGTACGATCTAGTTCGTAAAGCGAAAACCAAAGTAAAACGGTTTCGGTCATGGCTTATCGAGTAAGTATGTGCCTATATGTACGAGTTCAAGACTCATGTTGTACTCTATGTCGTTTAGTATTGGGTCCAGTAACCATTTCCGATGTAGGCGCCTTACGTTTATTACTTGGTAAGGTAATAACCAAAGGTTGTTCATCATTAGTAGGTAAGATCGAAGAATTTTCTGCTATGTTGGTAAGCAGATCAGAAATTTAGTCGCATAGGAAGTAGGTGGCAAATAGGGAATTTCAGATCTATCCGGGTTTGTCGTCACCTGAGGAAACCCTTTCCGTTTATCTCGTGTGTTCATGTGTAAACGCTTATTCCATTTCTTATTAAAAATACGAAGGAAGTCGCGAGATTCACGAAACGCATCGGAGGATAGCCAAGCTACTGTCCCATTCATAAACGGGTCTTGTAGTAAGTGTAACCGTCTTCGGATGTTTTGTCAATTATATCTTTGACTTGTGAATCCATAACTGGGACATCAGAATCAAATGAGCGAGCGAATGAGAGTTCGGTGGTAGGGATCCGGTGAGTGCCTAGCTTAGTTGCGCTAGTACCATCTATGTTATTCACTTCGTATGTATCACTCTTCTCATCATGGTAGGAAATAACAAAAGGTCCAATTGTCTTAGAAGAGAGTTCGGTAACGTTGGGATCGCGATTTATAATATTATCATAATCGCCAACTTTGAACTGAACAATGTTCTTAGTGTTATTCCATCGGTCATACGCTTTAAGTAGGACACGATTTTTGTGCTCGAGTAAATAGGGGTAAACAACGTTCTCCATATGCTCGATCTTTTGTAGCCACGGAGTAACGTGTTTCTCGGGCGCAGTTTTGTCAAACGTTGCTTGTAATTCACTATAGCGGCCAAAGAAATAGTGAAACGGGAGTGTTCCAGTTTGAGGATTTATGCAGTTATTCATTTGAGTCTGAACCCATTTCAAATGACAAGGCCATATATCCTCAACGTCATCTAGTGCGGTACGCAATAGCGTCTTGTGTCTCATTTGCACCCTGCGTTTGAGGTTTACGAGGAGCACCACGCCTATGCGTCATGCCTGATACGAGTATAAGTGCCTCCATTACGTCGGTACAAAACTCACTACCGTTATCAGAACATAGTACTCGGGGGAAACCAAAGTCATAAAAGACGTGACAGCATAACTCTACCACTGTTTGCGGGCGTTTGTTCGGTATTGCATAAAGCAAGCTGTAGCCCGAAGCCACACATAAGAAATGACAGATATATACATCGCCAGTATGCTTGGATCGCGGGAGTTTAACCAAATCGGCTATGACTCGTCGCATCGGTTGGTTTTCTGTCACACTTTTTAGGGGTGCCCAACCGTAGCGCTTGATCTGGTTCTTTACACAATCAGTACAGCGTCGGTATACTTCACGTATGGATTCTTTCAGCGCCAGGTGATCAAGCCCTGCACGAATAGCCATCTTATAAGTATGCTCATATGCTCGATGAGTTAAATTATGTATTATTTTAACTCTACTCTCGAGCTCTTCTGAGTCAGGCAGATTTTGTGCAACGCTGGCTGAATGAACCATAGTCCTGTTGGAAAGGTCAACCTCAGTATCAGGAGGGGTAGACTCCTGAGATACGTAATTAACAACAATAGATTGTTGAAGTATCTTCTTCAGTTGTTTCGCAACTCCTGGCTGCTCAAAAAGTAGCGCTTTAAGCAGTTGAGTGCGAGCTTCAGGTTCCCTTAGAGCTTTGAGTCTTTGATCCATGGCCTTAGCTAGTTCCATGTTTTTACGATCTAATGCCGTCTCAATCTGCATTACCTC